GCTGCGACTTCTACTGTGACTTCCTCGGAGACAGAGGGTCTCGAGAAAACTAGGGTCGATGAACTGTCTTCTGCTAGTACTACGACATCTACTACATCGACCACTACTGAAGAAGCGATCACGTCGTCAACAACCACAACTACTTTGTCCTCCACGACAGCTTCGACTACCGAGGCTACTGCGACTCCTACTACGACGGAAATTGTCGAGGAAGTTTGGGTCGAGGAATTGTCTCCTTCCACTACTACGACATCTAGTACGTCGACCACTACTGAAGGAGCGATCACGTCCTCAACCACCACAATTAGTCTGTCCTCTACAACTCCGACTACCGAAGTTACTACGACTTCTACTACGACGGAGAGTCTCAAGGAAGATTGGGTCGATGAATTGTCTTCTTCCAGTACTACGCCCTCTACTACGTCGGCCACTACTGAAGAAGCGACCACGTCCTCAATAACCACAAGTACTTTGTCCTCCTCGACTACTGAGCCTACTGCAACTATAACGACAACTGATAGTTTCGTAGGAGTATGGACTGATGTACTGTCTTCTACCAGTACAACAGCATCCAATACATCGACCATCACCACGGGAGGCTCGATTGACGATTATACAGAAAGCATCGAGGAAATCTCGTCCGAGTTGTCATCATCCATTACAGTCACCACTACTGCTCCCTCGGGCACAACTGAAAGAATGACTGCATCGTCTGCTTATGAATCGGCCGGGTGGACATCAGCAACAAATTCCCCTGCAGCCTCGGTGATACATCCAACTACCGACTATGTCGCTACCACCTCTACGACGAGGAACTTCGATGAGATTTGGGACGACACGTCTTCTACAACTACGACATCGACTTCTTGGACCACCACCGACGAAATGGAGGTCTCAACACCGACAACGACGACAATAACCACCATCGGCCTGGACGAGTCGTCTCTAGTGGTAGACTCCACTCCGGCCGAAATGACGGTCTCAGAGATGGCATCAATAGACGACTACACAGAGAGCGTCGAGGAAACGTCGTCTCATGTCTCGTCATCTACTACTGTTACTGCTCCGTGGAGCACAACTGGGGCTGCGGCATCATCTTCGGCCACTGACGTTGATGAATTGTTGTCAACAGTAGAAGTCACCCCATTTTCAGAGGTACTTCCAACATCCGAGTATACTTCTACTCTCACAGCAATGGAGAGCCTCGGGGAGATCTGGACTCATGCGCTTTCCAGTAGTACAACTACTTGGAGGACCACCACCGACGAGCCGGATATGTCCACAACAACCACTACAACCACCACCACCGCCACAACTACAACAACTACAACAACAACAACAACTACTACTACTACTACTACTACTACTACTACTACTACTACTACTACCACCACAACCAACACAACTACACCAACCACTTCAACTGGACTGGATGAGTGGCCTCCATTGGCAGAATTCACTTCGGCTCCACTAACGCCTTCTACAGACGTGTATACAGAAAGCGTCGAGGGAACGTCGTCCGATGGGTCGACCCCCACTAGCCTCACGGCTGCTGCTCTGTCTGACACAGCTGATGCAACGGCGGCTTCGTCACCGACGATAGCTCCCAAATCTACTTTAACGGCTACTTTGACCACTCCTGGTCTTAACTATCCATCAACTTCCACTATGAACTCAACCGAGTTTGTTCCAACTCAAGCGGCATCTTCTGACGGAGAGCTGGTTAACACGACGGCAAAGAATGGAGTCGATGACGCGACATATAAGTCAAATCTATCCCCAGGTAAACCGCCACTAGGTAAGGGTGGCAAGATCGTAGCATGCTCATGTCAGGACCGGAATCGCCAGCGATCGTAACAAATTCTTCGTCTCCGAGCCCATCCAAACACAAAGTTATTGTTATGATGATTGTTGTATGATGGTAAAATTGTTTTTATGGTCATTAACTGTTAAAATATTATGTGAATCCCATTGTGAGGATGCTACTGGACGCTAGAGTGCGTCGATTGTCTTCGCAGTCATCAATTCTTGTCTCGAACAATTTGTTCTATTCTTTGTGGATTGCTGCCGCGCTTTCTTTGCACTGCACTTGGGGGATGTGGCAATCGCTGCCTTTGAGCGTAGCTTGAAGAGCCCGACATATGCGGGCAACGAAGATGAGCGAGGAATTCGATAAACACTATCATGCGCATACGCACTGATAGATTTATCAGAGCTCTCTTAATTAGGGGACTGCCTTGAGCTGGTATAGGAACTGCCAACATTCAGATCTACAGGACTTCCAATTCAGCGTCTTGACACTTCCAAGTTGGAAGTCGCTGAATTCAATCCACTATTCCCATCAGATCGTATTATAGTCGAGTATTGACAAGGTCACTAGGCAACACGGCAACGATACTGGATCAAAAGAGTTCATTTTATCTCCAACAATGTTCAACTAGGAGAAAACGCAGTATCGAGTCGTCGCGCTGATTCCTTCACCGGTATCGATCAAATAGGAAGGTGGTTGACCAGCAACGCCCGTTACCGAAGAATCGGGACCCTCCGTTTGAAGTGCCCTTGCTCGAGCCCTAAAAATTGGTGTGATCCACAGAGTACTCTCCGTCTGAGCTCCGAATCTCGTCAGCGCCTTCGCAGTGGATCTCTCGCAGAGTATGTCTCGACATTTCATGATTCAGCGCTAAGCTTGAGAGAAGTTGTGAGGGCATCAGATCCGGCTCCCCGAGCTCGTGATATTTCCCCAACCTACGCCCAAAAAGTCGTGCATTCTCTGGATAATGCTACAGCATTGCTGTAACAGCGACACTGTCGCCTCATTTTCCTGGTGACCTCGTTGCTGTCGATGATGACACAGATCAATTCCATGTTGGTAAGGTCGATGCCGACATGACATCTATGAACGCTGTGTCTGGCATCTAGACATACGAGAAAAGTCATTTGTCACTAAACACACATGTAGAGAGGTGACAATACCAATTCTCTACATGTGGGCCGAGTAGCAAGGGTGGGGTACAGAACTTCCTCCTATGTGCAAGTTTGGGCTGTCCCCCCATCTGCTACTAGGGAATGTGTAGTGATTGCAATGTATGTATTGATCATGACGAAAAGGGATCCCAGACGAGTTCTACACCATTGTGTGCGAGCGAAAAAATTCCTGCGCTCATCGAGGGCGCACCGACAGGGAACCATCGCGCACGCCTTGTAACTATTGAGATCATAGCGAAATAGACAAACACACAACAACACTCTTCCACGATGAGATGATGCTGGCTAATGTCAAGAAGGCTTTACCAAGTTTATGCAAGTTTTTCAAGTTGAGCCAATTGTCGACAAGTCCAGTCTTTTCTAGTACGTCAGACTACTGCAGGATGAGGAAGGACTGGGCTCGATCTCGTGCTTGATAGTTCACTAGCGATGGGTACAAAGTGCCTGAATGTGAGATAGTGCGATCTGATTGGAATTATCGATGCTGTGAGAGGAGGTCAATAACGTATGAGTCGGTATTTAGTTTTCTTCGTATCAATCGATAGATATGTCTTCCAGTCTCCGCGGTTCTGAACAGCCCCCGAAGCAATGGAGGAAGATTGTTATTCTTTTTGGACCTCCTGGTGCCGGCAAGGGTACTCAAGGCCCCAAGATGGAGGAAAGTAATACATAGATTCTTATTGTTGGGTCAGTGCTCATGTCACTCGTTGAACTCCGGTTGTGATGTTCAGCTTACAAGATTCCCCAGCTTTCTACCGGTGACATGCTTCGAGCTGCCGTTGCGGC